TGTAGCATTTCGCCACAATTTAATTCTTCATATTATTAGCCGACACTGGGTCACTGATGACGAGTGGAATTCTCGAAAACTAGTCTGGCTCACAGACACACCCCCAATGAAAGAATAGACCATTCTAAGCTTTTACTTGTTGTTAAACAAATGTTTAAACGACTCTATTCATATATACTGAAATGAGTTACACAAGACTCCCAAACCCCATAACAGATCAGGGGTTTAAAGGTAAAGAAACTAAACAATAACTACGTTAGGTGAAAAAGATTTTTAAAAGCTAAGGAGCATGCAAGTTGAACATTTTAAACATTTTTAAAAGAGATGTTACTGACCAGAAACACAAACTGTTAGTCCAGCTTGTTATCAATCCAAAGAGAAAATATGTTATATTATATTCATACATATCTCAGTTTGTTGGAGCAAATACCCAACACAAAAAATAAATTAGTACTAACTTTCTTGAACCTTTCACATTTGATAGTTTATACCAGATCTTGTAGAACCAGTAATTTCTCAAATGTTCAATAACCATAGATAGTCCCTGTTAATTATAAATGAGGCTACTATTAACACTAATAAATCTATAAAAGAAAACACAACATATTTCACCTTTACAGGCATTGGTCTCCAGACCTACAGCAGGTCTCCATGGTTGGTCATTATAGAAGTCCTCACATTGTTCACAGTTTCGTCCTTTTGTATTATGAGTGCATTCACATTTTCCAAAGACCTATTATTAACAGAAAAGCCTATAATAATGATAGAAGATACAAAATACTGTATCATATTTGTTTGTATGTTTAGTGCCATATTCACAAACATATGTATAAAGTCTTATACATTATAATACTTAAAATAAGAATTTTTTGTTTTTTAAATCAATATAGTTAAAGTTCCAAGCTAAAATTGCAAACCATACTCAGTAATTTGAAAACTAAAAAACAATATTCATTTAAAGCATTTGTTTTGGTTTGATTAATAACTGACACTCACAAATATATAGCCAATAACTGTCTGATATTTTCAGTTTAAACAACAAAAGTTAACAAAGCATTAGAAATTTTCTTAATTTTTCCCATTTCAGATTCAAAATCTGAGGCATATAAAAAACAGCATTTCAGAGAAAGCTGAAGAACATGAAAAAAACAATCTGCAGTTTATATGATATTTACCACAAATTTTAAGTGTAACAGTTTCTTTGCTGAAATTATTCAGTATTAGAACATAATAAGTTGAACTTTTGCCAAGTGTCATAATTTATGGCAAATGTCACATTGATGAACAAAGAAAATTTAATACTATCATCACAGTAAAGATCAATGAGCTTTCTGTATTTCTAGAATAAAATCAGCAGCATGACAAAGTCAACTCCTTTGTGAAATATATGATTCTATTAATCATAACTATGTGTGAGCTCTGAACTACAGAGCACCATTTTAAAGTTCACTATGAAAAAGCGTTTTTTTCTTAAAATACTGTAACCCGATATATAGTTACCATATCAGGTCTTGATATTTGTTCCCCTTCTTCTATGCATCTACTAGCATGGCCATAACATGAACAACTCCCTCTGACAACCATATCATAAATAGCATAGTAGTATTTTTCTTTGATCTCTTCTCGGGAGTCCAACAGGTTATCACCAAGGGTATGAAGCTTTGTGAAGTTGATTCTCAGATTGGTCATCTTAAGCAAGTTTTGTACTTCAGGACTGTAAGGATCATCAACTGGAATGTGGGGTGGAAGAACTCTGAAAATTACCTACAATGGAAAAGATAAAATAAAATCTATATCTAATCAAAAACATTTATTTATAATAATTCTGATCTTTCTCACTTTCCCAACTTTCAGTAGCGAGTGATTTCTATGACAGAGTTACATGTATCTAATAGTACTCAAACAAAGAAATACCTCTCCTCCTGTGGATGGCTCTACACGAGAGTAGTATGAATCACATATAACATCAGTAATTCTCTGTCTTGGTTGCGTTGGAATGCCAGGAAAAGATTCATGACAGTCGTATGCAAAATACTGGTACACCTGTCAGCAAAATGATAAAAGAAAGTTATACAAAATAGTGTCATACATAGATTGCAAACACTGAGGTAGTTATGTTACCAGATCAGCTTACCAGGTAGTAAGCTATATGCCTATACAACCACTTAGTGTATAGGCATATAGGTCACAAGATATAGGTCACAGTCGTATGCAAAATACTGGTACACCTGTCAGCAAAATGATAAAAGAAAGTTATACAAAATAGTGTCATATATAGATTGCAAACACTGAGGTAGTTATGTTACCAGATCAGCTTACCAGGTAGTAAGCTATATGCCTATACAACCACTTAGTGTATAGGCATATAGGTCACAAGATATTTCGGTCAAACACTATTTAATAACTTCTGACTGAAAGTGGATAACTAAACAGAACAGAACTAAAAGGCAACATAAATTGTTTAAGCCAACTATGTAAAAGTTAGATGTCTATACATTTTCATAATTTAATGGACTCTCATCAAATACTCACTGATAACACTTAACTGATTTGGATGTTTGTTTTGTGGCTGCAGTTTAGTTTGTTTTTCTCTCTCTCCAGAAAATTACATATATGTATATAAACACACAAACTAAAATTTAAAAAAATCAAGGCTTCATATTATCTCACCTCCCATGATTGTCCAAAATCATGTGACCTTTCAATAAGCATAGCTGCTGGTCTAAAAGTTTTAAAAGTGATAATAACATGAGTAAAATGGAATTCTGCCTCCAGATCCAGCTGAAGTGTAACATTTTGTACTCCATTTTCAGCTTGCCACCATTCAGTCCATTTTCTCCCTATTCTATAGGAGATATAACAGTTTCGTTACTGTATTAGAATTACACATTGTATTCTAATTAATATATTTGTCTTTCATACAGGAAAACTATCACCTTATATTCATTTTCTCAAATAATGAACATGGTTGTGTATCTTACTACTTCTTAACTCAACACAAAAACAAATTTTCTCATCTTTCCCTAGAGTTGGAACCAAACCATGGATACTTACTGTCAATCTCTCTTCGATGGATCTAAGGTAACTATGCACAAGCAAATTTTGTTTTGTGGTGTGACCAAAGAATTAAACCCTTTATTTGACATTTAAAATTGAATATGTAAACATTTTTATTCGTGCTTAAACCATAAAATGATACACTTTTACTTTGTATGAGATTTCTTAACATAAGACTATGCTACTGGACCTAGGGGTTTACACGTTCAGGCTGTCAGAGCTAATGTGGTGAGGGAACAACAGGAATAACCCAGTGATGATGATAGCAAAAAGGAGGAAATCAAGTTAAATTAACAAGTTTTCTCAACATTTACAACCTTGCATCCAATAACAAAGCCATTTTCTTAGTATCAAATGAAGTTTAGACTCTAATTAAGAAAATAAAAACATTTAACCAATCAATATGTTACCCCAAATTTCTGTCACTATTTAACACCCAGTATAAAAAAAAGCATTTTATCTGTTAATGTATAAAGGTTAGAAACTGATATGTAAATTTACTAAATTTACCTTTACAATCTAACATCTGATAAGAGTGTCATTTCATTCTTTATAACAGACTTTGTATAAATTACAAATTATAAGCCCAAGACCTAAAAATAATAAGCTTTTGCCCCTTTTCTTATCTAAAAGAAATATTGTGGACAGATTTCTATATATTATTATACTCAGGTAAAAAACATAAAATCTGCTAGTTCTGTCTTCATTCTTAAATTATTGACAGAACCCTTGATATAAGATCAAAGTTGCACACACAGAAAATATAACAAGATAAGTTAAACTGAAACTGAGTTTTTTGTGGAGCCATGAAATTCACAAATACTATTTTTGAAAGTCAAACATAACATTGACAATATCAAACACTGTAGAGCTGTACTAAACTAAACAAATGAGTTCTCTCCAGTTGCAGAATTGCCAACCTCACAATTTTGATGTTACTTGCATACAGACAAGTACCGGCCTTTTTTTAATGACCTATTTTGACTAACATGATAAAAAAACACTTTTTTGGTATTTACAAGTTTACAGACAGTATTGAAATGTGACTTTTTTTTTTTACCAAAAGTACATCAACTTAGGGATAGTTGGCAACCCTGCTCAGTGGTAATTTTCAGAGCATATAATGCTAAAATTTGGGGTTTTATCCCTTTAGCATACACAGTGCAGATAGCCCATTTTACATATTTGCATTAAAGCAAATTAAACAAATAAAAAAGAGCTTATTAATTTTGTGGCATACTGAGTAAACAAAAACTCTTCTTTTTGGTTGCCCTCTGTTAGGGCATAGAAAAAAGGACTATTATTTTCTCTCTTTGTTTTTAAATTCTTTCACCTGTTTTAAACTTGTCTTCTCTGTTCAATCTTTTATAATCGCAGTAGCTAAAATTATTACAATGTTCCTTAACACTAACAATAGTTAGTGGCAGAGCTGTAGCTAAGGTAGGGCAGGAGGGGCAGTTGCGCATGGCACAGCCTGAACACTAAGCCCGCTATGGTTCTGGTTAGTGGATTAATTCTTTAGCTCAGTTGGTTAAGCACTTAAATTTGGCATGTGTGTGTGTTTTTCTTATAGCAAAGCCACATTGGGCTATCTGCTGTGTCCTCCAAGAAGAATCGTACACCTGATTTTAGTGTTGTAAATCTATAGACTTACCGCTGTCCCACCAGCAGACCATCTCAAGAGAGAACCAAAAACTACAACTCTTTCTTTGACTTTATTATTAACTCTTCATTTTTTAAGTAATTCATTTTTATCTCAATTTCAAGATAAGATATTGTATGATTTATATAAATAAATAAATAAAAATTAAAGTAAAATACACTACAACATAGAAGCCAAATTATATTAATCTTATAAAATAGATGCCAATTAGGAAATAGGATATTACCTAGAAACAATATTCTCTATTCCATGATATAATTGTGGTTCATTTTTCCTAGAAGGTCTAGAATCACAGTAAAAACACTTTTTTCTTTCCTTTAGGTGACTAACTATACAATAACGTTCTACATGGTTTAACCCACAGGTTGAGGAAGCCTTTATTTTGTCTGCTCTTCCAATCAGCAGGTTTCCTGTGGCTGGGTAACAGCTTGACTCATCACATGCATGTGGACCCTGAGAATAAACTTTTAAATAGAAAACAATTATTATTCTTATGTACACATGAATATAGTGAAATTGCATCAAACCACTATTTAGTTATTAAAAAACAATTTCCACCAATCACATTACAATTTAAAGATTTCAAGTAATGAATCCTTTTCCAAAACTACAACAAATTTTTTCAATAAATAATGTATGCAGAAAGAAGAAGAAAAAGAAGAAAAAAAGAGGTGGGCAACAAATTTTTGGTTTCACAATATCCTCCTGAACGCTCAATTCAGACATCACATATCTAAACAACCAACATGGGAAATTTGGTTTGGTTAGATTTTCACAACTTAAAGCTATTATATGTAACATTAATACTCTTTGCAGCCTACGTTATTAGGTAATAGTTTCATGATTATTATTCCAAATTCGTAAAAAATGTTGACTTTAGTGTAATACGTAGAAATTTCTTTACATTGGAAAATGGCTGCTAAGATGTATAATATGAGAAATACCAAGTCTTATGAATGTGTCACTCTAATTTTGGTTTCGTGTCTTAAATATCAAAATATTTCTCTTTGTTAAAAGTATCACTCAATTTACAAACCAATCGTTGCCATTATCACGTATCTCTAGGATCACCTAAGTCTAGTTGTTACTATTTTTAATAACAATGATAAAATTAATGCCTAATTATTAGTTTGATTTTGGAGGTAATCGTATAAACCTCTTATCAAAACAACGATTGACTTATTATATTTCTGTAGTGCACATTGTTGTATAAAAGACATTTTATTACAAGAAATAAACGACCTTAAAACACCAAGATTTGTTATTTGTTTTCCATTGCACACTCAAAGTTTAGCTTTACAGCTTCTTCAGGAGCGTTCCACTAAAACACAAACCATAACTAACAGTACAAAAGCTTTTTGGTGTTATAAGGTCGTTTATTTCTTGTATTACAACGATTATGTGCCAATAGCTTCAATGATTACATTATAAGAAGAAATAATTAAATACTATTTAACAAAACATTATTTGTTTTCAATTATTTTTTTAATAGTTTTGTAATAGAAATATTTGGTATTTAATATGTTTATAAATTTGGCCGATAGATGTCACAGTGTTTAGCACATACTACAATGCGAGTGTTGCATTTTGTAACAGAAATATACGCTCTCCGGCCAGGAATAACTGCTAGTTCGTGCGGAAGGCAATTGGGCCAGCTGCCTTTTCTGGAATTCTCCGACAATTCTACAACAATATATTCATATTTGACATTCAATAACGTTCACCATCCATGAGAAAATGGGTTTTATTGAAATTTTCGTTTAAAAATGATCTATCACCACAGCATTACATCACAAAATAGATTTTATTGAAGTATTTCTTTGTAGACGCAGTTATCAATGAAAGCGCTTTTCCTTTCTGTTGCAACACTCGTGAGATTTTCATTACAGAAAAACAAAAAAAAAATTTAAGTTTGTTTTGTGATTGTTTTATATTTGAAACGTACTCCTTTTTGTTTGTAGTTTTTATTGATTAAATCTGAAACATAATTTTTGTGGAAATTTTAATTATTTTATTTATTGCTCTGCTATAAATATATTGCCTAGTTATAAAAATATTACCCAGTTATGATCGGTGCGGTAGTTTCCGAGATCCGAGTTTTGGACGTATACATCGCATGCTCAATTATAATGAGATAGCCTAACACTTTCGTTACATACACACACACACATATATATATATACTGTTGCGTCAGCGAGGTCACATGACTAGTGTCACGCCACATTTCTAGAAGTATCCTGTACCCTG